CTAACTAATACCTTATAACAGTACAGGGGCGGTTAAAGAATATATAAAGCCTAAGCAATAAATGTTAATGAATTTTTTTTTATGTTTTTATTTAGAATAATTTTAAATTAAAATTTATTATTTTTATTTTTTGAGATTCATAATTACTAATTGATTTTTTTATCTAAATTATGCAAACATATATTTTGAATTGATAGTATGATATTTGAGCATAAATATTTTGATAGCATTACAATATATTACCTCATTAACATTTTTGTGTTCTTCTTATTTATTTTTATATACTTCACCGAAATTGTGGTATTACGTGACTGACTATTATTAGAAATACATTCATTTTTATCTTTTTGTTGAATTATTCCACTATTTTTTTTTTTTTAAAAATCATTTACTTGTTTATTTTGCAACTTTCAACTAATTTGTTGTTATATTTTACTTGTTACAAAAAACAACTTTTTCAAAAAAAATTTTTGAAATTAAATCAATTCTTACTTTGGATCCTTTATGAAAATGAATAGCTTGATTAGTGTTTTTTGTACTGATATAACAACAAAATCGAGTTTGAGACAGCAAAAAATATTTTAAGGTTGTTTTTATTTTTGTAGATGAGAGAGAAAGATTAATCATTATTATATTGTATTTGATAGGAGAAAGTTAAAAAAAAAAAATAGCTGGTGCTAGATTTTCTTCTTAACTTTTTTTGTCCTTCAATAAATTTGATTGTGTGAAGTGAATTAGACTTTTGGGTCTAATTTTAAAAATAATTTTTGCTTGTTTACTCTTTTTGGGCTTTCTTATTGGACAAAATTGTATTGAATTTTAATTTTTAATCTATATTATATTATCGCCCTCTAAAATTTGAGGTCTTATTTATATGAGGGATTTATAGGCCGGTCCTTAGGTCAAATAGGATTTCATAAAAAAAAACCCACTAGCGAATTTTCTTTTAAACTAAGGCTCTATTAAAAAATCAAAGTAATGGACATAACTAACGCTCTTTATAATTGCAAAAAATAATGACAATGTCATCACCAAATTTAAACATTTATTCTAAAAATTTATGTCATCATAATGTATATTTTTCTCCACAAACACAAATCGTAAGGCACATACGCTAAAAAAAAAAACGGATACGCAATTAAAAAAAAGATGTGTATACTTTTGAGCCAAAAAATAACATGTATGTAATAAAAAATTGAAAATAACAGGTACGAAATATATAAAAAATAACAGGTACGCAATAAGACAAGTACACTAAAACACAGATTGTCAGACAGGTACACTAAAACATAGATCGTTAATGTATCTTATTCTCTACAAACACAAATCATCAAACATATACACTAAAAGGTAGATGGTTAGACAGGTACACTAAAATACAAATTATCAAACAAATACTCTAAAATACATAACATTAATGTACCTTCTTGTCCATAAACACAGATCGTCAGACAGGTACATTAAAACACAGATTATCAGATATCATCATAATGTCCAAATTATTTAATTCACGAGTTTGAATTTCAAAACTGATAGACAATGCTGCAAAAAATTTAATAACAAACGCAAAAAAGAAAAAAAAAGAATAAACTAACTATATTTTAGGTTGAAATCACGTGACGAGGGTAAAATGGGTAATGAGCACTATAAACTAACCAATCCCTTAACATTCACGCCAATACAGAGACCATTGCATGCAAGTTTTTTCAAAAACCAAAAAACATTTTTTTATACTAAAAATTTGGTTGAACTAAAATTGATTTACATATTATATGAGGGACACTAGCCTAATTAACTATATCTATATTTGGAGCCTAAAACCCACACTTTTTTTCTTCTACTATTGAGAAGATGATATAATAGGGGGATTCACTTTTCCTACATGTTGTATTGTTATTGGTTGATAATACGACGTGTCACCGATCACGTAATATTATTGTTGTAATAAACACTTACTCTGGTTTTAAGCCCGGTTCCTATGACCCTTTTTTTTTGATATAATTGTTACAATGAGCAACTATGCCTGATTCAAAGCAAAAAATAAACACTTTTAAGTTTAATTTTAGAGAGTTTGGATGATAAATGAATAAATAGTTTGATGTGTCAAATAAATGATGGATATGAATCAAGTTAAATATAATATATATACAATTCAACTCAATCAAATACAACTTATAGATGATACATTTTCGATATTACATGAGTTCGATTATGGGCTTGTTTGGAATTTGCTTTTTTAGGTAAAAAACTGCGATTTTCATAGAAAAAAGTTATCATTAAAAAAGTCTCAAAAAACTGTTTGGAAATTATTTAAAAAGTTAAAAAAGTCCGTTTGAAGTCATTTTTAACTTTTTTTTGTGTTAAAATAAAAAAATAATTACATAAATGTATAGATTATGCATAATAGTTCTCAAAATATAAATATCAAAATTTTTAACTTCATTATTAATATTTTATAAGTATAATAAACTAAAAAATTATGTAAGGTTTACGACAAAAGTCTAAAAAAAAGCTCATAAAACTTCTTCAATCAGCTTAAATATTTTGAATCAAAAAAAATTCTGCATAAATTAATAAAAAAATTAAGGTCCAAATAGACTTGATTATTTTACTCCAAAACCCTTAAAAACTACCCTTCAAAAAAGTCCTACATACGATTATAAATGAGTTAGACATAAATTAAATAAATTTTGAGATAACATAATTTACATGACTTAAAAACATGACATAATAGGATGCATCATTCTTGAAAGTCTTTGCCTATTTTACTTTAGTGCATTCTCTCAACATACTTTTCTTCAATTTTCCTTCATGGTTATTTACTATGAAATAAAATGAGACCTACTATATTTTTAGAACAGATACTAACATTACAAAACGATTTCAAAAATTATAAAATATAGTATATATGTTTATAATCAAGATAACTCGTGTCTGAAGGCACGATGCAATATGGATGATTTTGAGAGGAGTGTCGGTGACCATTGAATAAGTCTATTTGAGACCTTCAAATGAGTTTATTGAAGTATGTTTTGTTTTATATTATAGATTATAGATCTTACACATCTTCCTTTGTAGACAATTTTTTTTATAAAAGTATCTAAAATTAAGAAAAAGTATCTAATATTTAAAAACAAGATAGAAAATACAATTGGCCCATTTTTTTAAGCACTTAGAATTTCCAACATTAAAGAAACATAAAGTTAAAAATTTCTAAAACTATATTACTAAGAGAAAAAACTTAAAAACCAAGGACCAAAAATATTACTAGTTCCCCATCCAAAAAACAGTGGTTATATATCATTAACAAAGATCGAGAAAAAGTATATTCGAAAGGATGTGAAAATATAAAATTATGTATGGAAACCATGTCTAATAACATCAACAAAGGATTTGAAAATTAATTTACTATTACAATTAGGAAGTTGACAAATTAACTTATAAAAATACAACAATTATCTAAATTGATTTGATTTTCATTTATTTTCATCCAATGATAAAAATTCATTCAAAAAATTTTTCTCCCGCTCAAAAATATCTTCTTCTCTATACGACTATCAATGTCAGACAACTCAATTGAGACATCAACGTACTCTTTAATGTCAAACAATCTCATCAATCCACCTACATCTCTTTTCTCTCTCAATTTTCAAATTGTATAATTTAAAAAATAAATTATTATTTAAAATATAAATATTGCATAATTAATGTTCGTTTTTTAATATTGCATAGTATGTTCAGGCAAGGGATTATTGTTTGTTATAAAATATACATATGTTCTCATTTGCTTACGTACTCCATTTCTATAGAAAAACTTTAAAAAAAAATGGGTTAATAGTACTTTTAATCTTTAAAGTATGCATGTTTCTCTAATTTGGTTATCAGTGTATTAATTTTGTCAATTTAATTCTTAAAGTGTTAATTCGTGTCAATTTAGTTCATAACTAGATAATTCGTTAAGTTTTTGTATTGGATGTGACCACATGTCATTCTTTCAGACGGTCTCACGTGACTAACACATGATCATTAAATATTTTAGGAATTAAATTGATAAAATAATAATTTAATGACCAAATTAATAAAATATACATATTTTAAGAACTAAAAGTGCTATTAACCCTAAAAAAAATCTAAAATTAAGAGAAAATATCTAATTTTTTGAAAAACCAAACAAGAAATACAATTAGGCCATTTTTTGGGCACTCATAATTTCCAAAAATAAAGAAACATAAAGTTAAAAATTTCTAAAACTATATTATTAATACCCCCGTTTGTTACAATAAAAAAATGGAAGGATAAAGAGTTAAAATGATGAAAAATTGGAAGGATAAATAAAATATTATATTTGGTAAAGAAGAAAAATAGGAAGAATGAAAAGGTGGATGAATTAATTTTTTTTTAATTTACCAAAATCAATTCCTCTTAAATTAAGATAAAAGTGGATAAAAAATTAATTATGTGCGTTAAAATATATGTTATTTGTTTATATATTATTTAATATATACATATATCTTATTTATTAATTATATATTATGAATTTATATTTTTTCATTTTTTTATTAATACTAAACATAAAAAAATTAATTATTTTTATTTTTTATTCATTTTATCAAACACACACAAAAAAAAAAAATCTTGCTTACTATTCTTCCTTTCCTTTCTTAGGAGATAGAAAATAGATATTTCTATTTTCATCACTCTAACGTTCTATTGAGGGGAAAACTTGAAAAAAATTCTGAATACGAGTAGGTTTTGTGTTTTAACTATCTATCGTCCACCCCTATCTGGCCAAATCCATCTGCGATGCCCTCACTCTCTCTCACCTCATAATCTCAGCCCCCTCCCTCTCCTCTCCCTTTCTCTCTCTACCCTAATCTCATCAATAAAACCTTACACAGAATTTATATTCTCTCTCTCACACACACACTCTTACATTCACAGAGATATAAAGAGGGGGAGGGAAAGTAAAACCTACTAGAATACACGCTCAAAAACCAACAATGAAACACAACAGCTTATCGCCGTCATCATCATCCTCCGAAGCCGTTTCATCATCGTCGTCGTTATCAACCTCCGACCAACCACATCCGTCCGTTCAGAGGACTTCATCAACATCGGCCTCATCGTCATCGACTACGGCGGTGGAGGATCCGGCAGCCTCCCGAGACACGTCGTCCGGCGTCGCCGCGGAATCCGTCACCATCGAGAGGCGTGGCGATTACGCCGCCTTCTGTAAATGGACAATCGCTAATTTCCCCAAAGTCAAGGCGCGAGCTCTCTGGAGCAAGTACTTCGAGGTCGGTGGATTCGATTGTCGCCTCTTAATCTACCCTAAGGGAGACTCCCAAGCTTTGCCTGGGTACATCTCCATCTACCTCCAAATCATGGACCCTCGCAATACGACGTCGTCTAAGTGGGACTGCTTTGCCAGCTACCGCCTCGCCGTTGAAAATGTTTCCGATTCCTCCAAATCCATTCATCGCGATTCCTGGCACCGATTCTCCTCGAAGAAGAAATCCCACGGTTGGTGCGATTTTACCCCCTCCAATTCAATCCTCGAGCCGAAATTAGGGTTTCTATTCAACAATGATTGCGTACTTGTTACTGCTGATATATTAATTTTGAATGAATCTGTAAATTTTACCCGTGATAATAATGAATTGCAGTCGAATATACTGTCAAATTTGATTGTTACTGGTCCGGTTGGAGATGTATTGAGTGGGAAATTTACTTGGAAAGTTCATAATTTCAGTTTGTTTAAGGAAATGATTAAGACCCAGAAGATTATGAGCCCAGTTTTTCCAGCCGGGGAGTGTAATCTGCGGATTAGTGTGTATCAGAGCTCGGTGAATGGGAGCGATTACTTGTCCATGTGTTTGGAGAGTAAGGATACGGAGAAGACACTTGTTTCGGATAGGAGTTGCTGGTGTTTGTTTCGGATGTCAGTGTTGAACCAAAAGCCAGGGTTGAATCACATGCACAGGGATTCGTATGGGAGGTTTGCAGCTGATAATAAGAGCGGGGATAATACAAGCTTGGGGTGGAATGATTATATGAAGATGTCCGATTTTGTGGGAATGGAGTCAGGGTTCTTGTTGGATGATACAGCAATTTTTAGTACTTCCTTTCATGTGATTAAGGAATTGAGTAGTTTTTCAAAAAATGGGGGGTTCATTGGAGGAGTGAGGAGTGGGAGTGGCACGAGGAAGTCTGATGGGCATATGGGGAAATTTACTTGGAGAATTGAAAATTTCTCGAGGTTGAAGGACCTTTTGAAGAAGAGGAAGATTACGGGGCTTTGCATCAAGAGTAGGAGGTTTCAGATCGGGAATCGGGATTGTCGGCTTATTGTTTACCCTAGAGGTATTTAACATGTTGAGACAGCATAATTCAATTATCTGTTGTCTGACATTCTTACAGTTGATAGTTGCAAATTGTTGACAATGATTAGTATGCATTACAAAGGCATGTTTGCTTCTGCAACTTTTGTATTGCTGTGGTTTATCATTCTTACTCTAACAATTTGTCTAGGCTAATAAATGATTGCTGAGGTCTGTGTAAAGGGTAGAGAATTTTTTTTCCCCGAGGAATTGAGAGGTTGGCTCATTAGTAGTAAATGTGTCTTTTCACTTGAAATTGTGATTGCTAGACTTACAATTGCTTTAAGTGATGCTTATGGAATAGAATTGGCGAACATATCAAATTCTTTGGTTGGGTAGGTCCTTTCTTTACTAATAACCGTAAATGCATATAGATTGCCAGTTTTCTTTTTATTTTGAACCTTTTGATTGGAAATAGTTAAACTAGTTGTTCATGTTTGACATAAGCATTTGAACTGATGAATATCTCACTTATCTTTGTGGTATCAGGGCAGTCTCAGCCACCATGTCACCTTTCAGTATTTCTTGAAGTTACAGATTCACGAAATACTGCCAGTGATTGGAGTTGTTTTGTGAGCCATCGATTGTCAGTTGTGAACCAGAAAATGGAGGACAAGTCTGTTACGAAAGAATCCCAGAACCGGTACTCTAAAGCTGCAAAGGACTGGGGCTGGCGTGAATTTGTAACCCTTACTAGTCTTTTGGCCAAGACTCTGGTTTTCTCATACAGGATACTGTTGTGTTCTCTGCAGAAGTTCTTATCTTGAAAGAGACGTCCATACAACAGGAATTTAGTGATCAGGATACTGAGTCAGACAGTGCTAATCCTCAAGTAGATGGAGTTGGGAAAAAGAGTTCATTTACTTGGAAGGTGGAGAATTTCTTGGCCTTCAAGGAAATAATGGAAACACGGAAAATCTTTAGCAAATTCTTTCAAGCTGGTGGATGTGAACTGCGGATTGGTGGGTGATGTTTTTTTTTGATGCCCTCTCTCCTTTATATCATCGCTAGCATTTATTAGCCTTTTCTTCCTGGAATGATGTGTTTATTTTTGGGTGATGCAGGTGTCTACGAGTCCTTTGACACCATATGCATATATCTAGAAAGTGATCAGTCAGTTGGCAGTGATCCTGATAAGAACTTTTGGGTCAGATACAGGATGGCTGTGTGAATCAAAAAAATCCAGCCAAGACTGTCTGGAAAGAGTCTTCTATTTGTACAAAGACATGGAACAATTCTGTTCTCCAATTCATGAAGGTCTCAGATATGCTGGAAGCAGATGCTGGATTTCTTTTACGTGACACGGTTGTGTTTGTTGTTTGTGAAATTTTGGATTGCTGCCCTTGGTTTGAGTTTTCAGACCTAGAGGTTAGTATAAATTGACCCATTTCATCTACGATCGTCTCCCAGTTTTCCCTGGTGATTCAGAAGTTTTTTTATTTAAATATATGTTGGACTTTTGACCATTGTGAGAATTCTGTGATTGTTGGGACTGACTAAATCTCAACTCTGGAGATAAGAATCTTTCTAATTTTTAGGCACTATCATTTGACACTTTAATTTTCACTTCATTATCCAGCTAACTTGGCTTTGGCTACTTGTTCAAATTAATAATGGATGGGTGTGTTAGAGATTGCTTTAATAAAGACAAACAATGTTTTGTATGAAATAATGGATGTTATTGTGCTTGTGTGATAATCTGTATTCAATCTGCATTCATTCATAATAGTTGATGCATCTTGCAAGTGGTAAAAGTGACTGTCAAATGCTGCTTTGACTGGACTGATGTCTTTGTGTGAGTACATACTGGCACATGTATTCTAAGGAAGTGAAATATGAGACATGGCAGAACAAGAATACGATAAGAAAATAGTGAATGTGTGTGTGAATGAGGATGGTTATGGATAGAAGATAAGACACTTTT